GGGGTGGGGGAGGGGGTTGGGGGTTAATTGGGGGATGAGGACACATTTGTAATACCTTAACCAATAAAGAAATTTTAAAAAATAAATAAAAAATAACATTCTTTCACATAAAAGGGCCTGTGGGAAAGTACATGTAACTAGGAATCAAGCTGTAATAAAAAAATTCAGCCCTTTCTCTTCAGGGATATATATTTAATGAAGAGATAATGGGGATGAACTTTTTGATTTATTTTTGCTAAAATGTAAGTATTTTTTAAAAATTCAAGGTCAGTTCATATTAAAATGGTCAAGCAACTATAGATCCCTAGATTTTACACACCTCTTCCCATGACAGAATACTCAAAATAACTCTCCTAAGAATGTTATAAACTAATGAGGCTCTGGACTACCATATAGATTTTTACTTTTTCCTTGGATTATATATCTAATCCTCTCCATAAATGTATTTTAAAACAAGATCTTTCTTAGTCAATCCACAATTAGCTGATTAGTGTCATTCAAGGTACAATATTCTTTTCAATTCATCCCAGATTCTAAGTGACTCTTCGTAAACAAGGAATGCAAGATGTGAAACTCAAAGTGAAATATGTGGGACCCTGAGAAGAGGGAAAAGTACTTCTAGTTTAAGCTGGTTGAGGGAAAGCTGATCATTTGAAATGCCTTTATACACGTTGCACTCATATTGCTGATAAGTGTTATTGTCAAGATCCTTAACTGTTCTACAAGTTGTTGCTGTGGCATTACCTTATGAAAACTTTGGAATACTTTCAGTGATAATGTCAAACCTGGGTTTATATTTCTTAACCCAACGGAATTGTTTATATCAACTAACAGGTCAGAGAGATAGAAAGCAAAATTACTACGCTCAAAGGGATCTACCAATTTTTCCAAAATCAATGTGTATCTTGTCACACAGGAAGTACTCCACTCCCCCTTTGTTAGAGAAGGCAGTTACTCTTTGGCATCTTCTTACTACTGATCTTCTCATTCCTTATCTAAAACGTAATCTAATGAATCTTTTGTAGATGGACTAGTCCCTGTAATTGGTTTATTTGCAGTTAATGTATATGAAATCTACATTCCTTTTGAACACCAACAAAGTCCTGTTTCCCCGGGTTTGAACTCTAGGATCCCTAAGTTCCCATTACTATGACACATTCAAATCAACAACTGGCTCGAAAGTCTACCCTTGCAAACAAAAGCTTGCGGTGGTGTCTGCAGGTCCTGGACTAGCAGCCACCCCACACGAGCCTATCACAAGCGCAGCTCCGGGCTCTGAGAAATTAAAACGGGCACGCACCGGAGGGAGGCGAGAGATCCTAAAGATCATTCAGGGGTGGGGGTGGGGAGACAGGCTACAGCCCCGGGAGCAAGGTAGCCCCCGCGAACGCCTCGGTAACCTCGTGCATGCCACAGGCAGGTACGGGTTCAGGTCAGGGAGGTCCGGCATTCCGGTCCTCAGGCGCACACAGGATCGCCTGCTCGGGCCGCAGAGAGCAGCCTGGACTGGTGGAGAAAGAAGCACGCGCCACACCACCCTCACCCTTCCCCGGGGAGCTCACCGGTGCTGCAGCCCCACGAGTCCCAGAGCGATCACATGCGGCACATCTAACTGCGTGGGCCACTCTCCCGAGCTGATGCACCCGAACACGCCGCATTCCTCTCGGATCCCCGACTCCTCCAGCTCCATGTCGCCAGAGAACCCACGTGGAGGGAGCCGCCGCCGCCGTCGGGTCTAAGCACCAACCCGCTGCGCGCTGGGCCCGGACGCCACAGAAGCTCGCGCCCGAGACAGCTGCTTCCTTCCCAGCCGCTCAGCCCGCGCTACTGCGGCGGCGCGTGCTTTCCAAGAAAGAGTGAACGAGACTAGCTTGCCCCCGCCCCCTTCCCCGACTCCTCCAGGCCCACCAATGAGCGAGGGCGGAGGGAGGGGCTCCGGGCGGAGGGGCGGAGCCACGGGCTCCGGGGAGGTGGAGCTAGTTCTCCACTAGAGCGCCGCTGGAAGCTAATTTTTCGGCACGTGGAGATCTCCGTTATTTTCCAGCTCCTAAGCCTGGAGTGAGGAGAGTAGCGGGGTTCACGTCACTTCTCTCGCCGAGAATGTAACCTTCGAACGCCTCCACCCACAGGCCTTCCCCCGCCGTCGCTACTTGGTACACTCCAACCTCTGACCCGCTCTCGCAGCGGAGAAGGGAGCCCCATCAGCGAGACCTGTAGAGCGGGGAGGGGCCGCCATTGCGCGCCACTTCTCGCCTCTCCGGGAACCGCGCCGGCGCCGGGCGAGAAGGGGGCGAGGCGAGGGCAGGAGGGGACGGGGGGCGTTGCTGCGCCTGCGCGGCGGGAAGCCTCGCGGAAAGCGCTCACTCCCGAGTCCCCACCAGCCTGGGGGGCAGCGACACCCCGGGTTCCGCCGCAGCTCTGGAAGCGAGCGCCGCTCCGGGTGACGCCGCGCTGCCGGGGGCGTGTCTCTGCTCCGCGCCTCCCGCCCTCGCCCCTTGAGCCTCTCTGACTCCTCCTTTCCGGAGTCCCGCGTCTCGGCCGCCGCTCCCAGCCCACCCAGGATAATGGCGACAGCTGAGGGTGAGTAACGGGCATCCAGGAGTCCGCCGAGGCCTCCTGCTCGCCACGGCCTGCCCGGCCCCGGGCCTCGGGCTCCTGGTCTCGGCGCGGACACGTGCGCCCCGGTGGTCCTGACCCCAGCCTCCCTCTGGCAATGCCCGATCTCCCGGTACCCGCCCCTCCAGGCCGCCGCGCAGGCGGACACGTGGCCCGGCGCCGCGGTCCCGAGCCTTGTAAATAAAGCGCCCCCCCCCGGCCTCCCGAACTCTCCGAAACACCCAGGTCTGCGTCTGGGATGGGGTGAGGACGAAAGGGAAGGGGAGGGATAGTTAGAACAGAAATGGCCAGCGGGTGAAGAGGTGCCTGGAAGTCAGTTTTGTAATCAATAGGTACTGGAAAACAAACACAGGAACATCTCGTGTTGACTCTTCAAACTAGATGACTCTTCTTGTTAGGTTAATAATAACCTTCTATTCCAGAAAGTTAATCATTGAACCTTCTGAAAAATTTGCTATTTTCTGTCCCGATTTGGGGTGTGTTTTTAAAGTAGTCTTGTAATGCCATGATGGCTTTGGAGAGCTCTGAAACCACCAGGCAAGTCCACTAATTTGTAGCAGGCATTTCGGTACTTGCTGCATGTTTCCCATGATTAAGATATTTCTATCCATAATTCCTACCCTATTTAATCACTAGGTTAAAAAGTATTGATTCAACTAAATTGGGAAGGAGGGGAAGTAGGTACAAACTTCCTTTTGCCTTTTATCTAACCTAGGCAACATCTTGACTTTTTCCTGTCTCTGTTATCTCCCAAAATGAATCAATTGTTCTAAAAACTTTTACCTTTTAGCCCAGCTGGCGTGGCTCAGTGGTTGAGCATCGACCTACAAACCAGGAGGTCACACTTCAATTCCAGGTCGGGGCACATGCCTGGGTTGCATGCTCAATCCCCAGTGTGGGCCATGCAGGAGGCAGCCAATCAGTGATTCTCTCTCATCATAGATGCTGTATCTCTCTCTCTGTCCTCCTCTCCCT